TAAGTTATAGTATAGTTAAGCCTATAGAACCTGCCATTAACTAGCTGCATGGCCTTGGGTAAGTCATTTAACCTCTCTGTGCCTTGGTTTCCTCAGCAGGCCAATGGTGGTGGTAGTCCTGGTGAGGCACATAGGAGGTGCTCAGTTGCACAGATGGGAGTTGCCAGGAAGGATCCACAGCCCAGAATGGCCCCTGCACGGCTGGTGTACTTCCCCCCACCCCACGAGGGCCCCTCTGCTCCTTCCCTCCTTAGGGCCTTGCCTTGGGCTCAAGAGGCTGAGCCAGGCGCTGACTTCCCACTGGGGCCTTCTGAGGTTCTCACAGGAGGGACAAGGTCCAAGGCTCCCAGAGGAAGCACCCTGGGGGCTGGCCCAGGCCCAGCCTCATGCAGCTGTGGGTGGAGGCTTTAGAAGCCTGGGGGAAAGTCAGGGGCCTGAGGGGCCAGAGCATGGCCTGCGCTGGCACCCCAGCCTCGTCCTCACCCCCCACTCACTGCCCCTTCAGAGCAGACAGGTGGGCTTCAGGCTGTCCCGTAGCTCCCAGCCTGCCCGGCCCTGCAGCAGATAGGAGGAGGCTGAGTGAGGGGAGCAGCAGCTTACCCAAGACCCAGCGGTCTGCGAGGGCGAGGGAGCCTGGATCACGCGATCCTCCGCTCTCCCCGCCGCAGCCCCTCCCAGGCTCCTAGGGATTTCATGTTTGAACAGACGGCAACTTGTACCCCCACATCTGAGACAAAGCTGCCTTTTTCCATTCGGTTGATGTCTTCTGCACGTGTGGCTATGCCTTAAATGTTCTCTAGCATGATCGTTGTCAACCTTAATTTTTTTTTTTAATTTAGAAGAACTTTTGTTCCCTGGACCAAGACGTAGATGGGGCAGAAATATATAAACCTGTAGAAAGACTTCTTTAGTTGAGACAGGGCTGCAGGTGCTTGGTTTCTCTCCCATCATGAGGTGAACAGTAAAAGGAACGCACACATTTTGCTCACCTGCAGAAAGGTCCCACCCCTGAGACAGTCTGAATGTGACACCGTCCCCAACCATTCAGGATGGAGAGTGATTCCCAAAGTGAGGCAGCTATACGATGATTTTAGGGGCCACCTAGATGAACAGCTTTTATTTATTTTTCATTTTATTTATTTATTTTTTGAGGAAGATTGGCCCTGAGCTAACATCTGTTGCCAATCTTCCTCTTTTCTGTCTTTTTTCTTCCCAAAGCCCTAGTACACAGTTGTATATCTAGTTGTAGGTCCTTCTAGTTCTTCTTTGTGGGACGCCACCTCAGCGAGGCTTGATGAGCGGTGAGTAGGTCCGTGCCAGGATCCGAACCAGAGAACCCCAGGCCGCCGAAGCAGAACGCACAAACTTAACCGCTACGCCACTGGCCCAGCCCTAGCTTTTAAATCGACAGTCATGAATTGAAATGTGTGTTGGAAGAAATATAACAACACATCCAACCAAGATTTCATGGTCATTTTTGCTCAGAAGGAGAGTAAGTGGTGAATTGCTTTAAAGAAAAATATTAAGTGAATAATGTACAGCAGGATCACAGAGATGGCAAAACTCACAAAGGTGGTTTGTGTGTACAGTCTGGGAGCCCAAGAAGGTGAGGTATTGGAGGGGAAACCTGTCCCGAGGAAAGAGTCTGAATTGCGCTGAGTCCCATCTTTACCTGCTGTCTGTCATCTTTTTACTGATGCGTCCATCCCACAAGCGTGTGTTGCCCCCCTGCTGTGTACTAGGTCCTTGCCTGGTGTGGAGGGTGCTATCCCCATGGCGCAGAGTCTTGGGGGCACTGGGAGGGCTGTCCTGGGACCCCATCACTGAAGTGAGCCTCCAAGACGAGTGGGTGGTAGGTGAGGGAGAGACAGAAGCTTTCCAGCCCCAAGGAGCAGCTCGGGGGTGGGGAGGGCTGGAAGAGGGAAGAGCATGGTGGGCTTGAGGAACCTAAAGAGGCCAGTGGGGCAGAGCACAGAGGGCGACAGAGGGAGAGGGCTTGAGATGAGATCAGAATCACTGGGGCTGGATTGGACTGGATCTATAAGCAATGGGAAAGACGGTGGATGCTGTCATTCATTTAGCCAAGATTCATTGCGTTCCTGCCCTGTGCTAGTCATGGAGGGGTATGCAAAGTCGCAGAGCCTTCCCTCTAGGCGCCTAGGCCTGGTGGCAGGCTTTTGAACACGTGGATGGGCTTTTCATAAGTGCCGTGTCAGAGGTGTAAACAAGAGGCCAAGGGAGCACAGAGGGGAGAGGGCTGCCATGTATGAGAAGGCAGTGACATTTGAGCTGGGTTTTGAAGAATGAGCAGGAGTTTAACAGGAGGAAGAGGAAAGGTGGCAGTGAAAACAGGGTGAGTAAAGGCACAGAGGCGTGAAAAAGCCCAGAGGGTCTGGGGAAATGCCGGCAGCTGGAGCCACAGCGGGTACTGGAAAGAGAAGAGGCCAGAGCGTCAAGTACGCAGAGGTCTTCAGGCTCAAGCCAGAGCTGAGGTTTCGTTCCACAGTGAGGAAGCTGGCAGTGAGGAGCTAGAGACCCAGGTTAGAGCAACAGAGGAAGATCCCTCTGCCAAGGGGTGTGGTGAGCTTGGGTGACGGGGGAGGACAGCGCTGCCACCACTGCCCAGTGGGGTGTGAAGATGGCCAGGCCTGGGCCACGGCAGGGGCTGGAGGAGGGGACCCTTTGCAGTGTTACAGAAGGTGGGGACTGCAGAATATGCTCTCTCTGTGCCCCCGGCCTGGGCTGGCATGGTGCCCGGAACAGCGACCTCTCGTTACAGGGCAGTGGGCTGCCTGCTGCCCCGACTTCGAAGACCAGAGGCCTTTTCCAAAAGAGTAAAGATTCCAGCCAGCTGGGCCCGTGGTCTGTGTCCAAAGCAAACAGGAAGAGACCACAGTGGGCAGGCAGGGCCTCTTTCTTTGTTTGGAGAAGGGATTAGGCCAAGCAGGCTTGTGGATCTTCCTGCTGCAGAGACAGGAGGGGCTGCAGGCCAGTCAGGGACAGAGCGAAACTCGGTGCAGGGGGCGCATGGCCCTGGGTGCCAGCCTACAGGGCACCGTAAAGATGGCCTCCCTTGGCAAATTCTGGCCTTGACGGAGGGAGACTGGGAGCACGTGCTACGGCACCTTGGGTGCCACCGTTCCCTCTCACTGTGCCCAGGCTGGAGCCCTCTCCCGCTCACTCGGCTTCCCGCTGGTGCCCCTTGGCCGTCAGCCCGGGAAGTCCGTGCTGCCCAGACCAGGGCCCCGTGGCGGGTTTCTAGAGAGAAGGAGGGAAATGCCAAGGGCTCAGAGCACCCTCAGTCTGAAGGATGGGCACCCAGGATTGCCCTGAGGCACGCACTCAGGCCCTGGCCTCCCTGGCTGGAGGACAGGCAGCCGTCTTTCCCTCCTGCAGCTGTGCCTGAATGAATTAATCTATGCATCCGCTCAGTTCATGCCTGTGTTCATTCACCAAGCCCTCACACAGGCTCAGGATGGCAGGCCCAAGCTGGGGCAGGGAGCAGCAGCTGAACGAGGTCCTTCGCAGCTGACAAGCTGATGGAGCTGTCAGATGCGAGCCCTGAGATGCAGCTGCCCCTAACAGGGGTCCTACCTGTCTGCAGGGGTTGGAGGAGGGCTCAGAGAAGCGGGCAGACAGTTCTCCCAGGGCAAGAGTGGGGGCGGGGACAGGGGCGGAGGTGGGCTAGAAAGACTTCAATGAGAAGTGACTCCTGAACGGACTAATTCATTTATCATTCACCCATTCACCCGTGTGTGCGTTCACTCAACAGATATGTATTGAGCACCTACTGGGTGCCAGGTCCTGTGCCAAGTGCTGGTGAGCAGATACAGCTGAGGACCTGCTTTTCTGGGGCCTGCAGTTGGTGGGGAGACAGTCAGGACTCAAGTCATCACCACACAGACCAAATGGAAAATTACGCTGAGTTATTGGGCTTTGAAGAAGAGGTTTGTGGTGCTGATGGAGCTAATGACCTGGTCAGGGAGGTCGAGGCCTCCTCTCTGAGAAAGACTTGAAGGATGAATAGGAATTAACCAGGGCAAGAAGGGACAGAAGATGATCCAGGCAGAGGGAACAGCAGGTGCAAAGGTCCTGTGGTGGAATGACTGGATGAAGGCCAGAGTGGCTGGGGTACCGTGACAGAGGGGAGCGTGGTGAAAATGAGGCTGGGAAGTGGGCGGGCTGATAGCACCTGAACTTGTGGGTCCTTTTAGAATATTTGGTCTGGATTCTACGAGCAAAAGGAAGGTTTTAAGCGGTGGTCAAAATGATCCTGGTTGTGTGGCGAATAGTTTTGAGGGGGCGCGAGTGGAGGGGGGTGTTGATGAGGGTACAGCAGTGTCCACATAAACAGTGGAGGGGCTTTGACAGAGGACATGGCGAGATCAGGGGATGGGGGAGTTGGATGTGGGGTGAGGGTCAGGCTGTGTCAAGGTCTAGGAAACTGAGCTGGTGGATGGGAAGGGTGACAATGAGCATCGTTTTCCTGTACGAATGTATTTTATTGAGTGTGATAAGTAATATCTTCATTTCTACCAAGGAGAGGAAAAGAGGCAGCGGTTGCACTGTGAGCAAGGGATGATGTTTAGTTTCTACTGTGTGGTATTTAATATGTCTTCTCAGTAAATCTTTTCAACACACCCCAGAGGTAAACACGATTGTTTATTTACGAGGAAAGAGGTTGCAGAAAGGTAAAGTTACCTGCCCAAGGTCACGGCTGGGAAGAGGTTAATCCTCCACCAGCCTCCTCTCTTAAAAAAAAAAAAGAAAAGGCAAAACAACTTATTTGATTCTATTCAGTGAGCTGATAATTGAGCAAACAGTTTCTGTCAAGAAGGGGAAGGGAGGGACCCTGGGAGGACCCCCTGCTCTGGAAGAGTGCACGGGAGGCTGGGACCGCGTCGCCTAGGAGCCCCAGGCATCCTTCCAGAATCCAGCCACGGGGTGACCCAGCATGTTCTTGACCCAAACCAGAAAACAACCCTTCCCTTCTCTGCATCTTTCACCTCTTGCTCCTGAGAAGTCCTTCCCTGACTCTAACCTTGATCTTCCTGCTTCTGTCCCCACTGTCTCAGCTCGCAGGCAGATCAACGCCACCTGGCTGCTCCCTCTACCTGCTGGGCCCGCAGCCTACTCCCTGCCCTTCAGCCCTCGGGCAGACTCCTAGGCAGCCGGCAGCCTGTAACCGGACGCTGTTTGCTCCCAGCAGGCTCCCTGAGCCTCACTCCGCACACTGTTCCTGGGTCTCCTCTCCCCAGCCTGGGTGGAGTGTTCCCCTGCCCACTCCAGTGACCTTCGCCTGTCTGAGCCCTGGTTAATTTTTGCCCAGTCTTCAGGCTGTGGGGCTCCTCCCCTCGGGGATATAAGCCTGGCCCAAGGCTGCCCCGTTCCCTACCTGTCCTGAACCTCCCCAAGCTCCCTCCCCACCCTCACCATGGCCAAGGGCTTCTACATTTCCAAGACCCTGGGCATCCTGGGCGTCGTCCTGGGCGTGGCAGCCGTGTGCACCATCATTGCTCTGTCGGTGGTGTACTCCCAGGAGAAGAATAAGAATGCTGGCAGCTCCGCTGCAGCCACCACGAGCCACACTACCAGTCCCACCACCACTGCTGCCACCACCTTGGACCAAAGTGAGCCATGGAACCAATACCGCCTACCCACGACACTGGTGCCCGAGTCCTACAGGGTGAAGCTGAGGCCCTACCTCACCCCCAACGAGCAGGGCCTGTACATCTTCCAGGGCAAAAGCACTGTCCGCTTCACCTGCAAGGAGGCCACCGACGTCATCATCATCCACAGCAAGCAGCTCAACTACACCCTCACTCAGGGGCACATGGTGGTCCTGCGCGGCGTGGGCGACGCCCAGCCCCCTGAGATCGACAGAACTGAGCTGGTGGAGCTCACCCAGTACCTGGTGGTGCACCTCAAGGGCACGCTGGCGGAGGGCAGCCTGTACGAGATGGACAGTGAGTTTGAGGGGGAGCTGGCCGATGACCTGGCAGGCTTCTACCGCAGCGAGTACACGGAAGGCAACGTCAAAAAGTGAGTTGGAGCTGGATCTGCTCGGTGGGGGTGGATCCCAGACGCTGAAGCAGAGCCGGAGCCTGAGGGTCAAGGAAAGGCTTAGATTCGAGACCTTTGAACTTTCTGGAGCCCTTGGCTGGCCATTCCATCTGCAGGCTCAGAGGAGAGAAATTTGTCTTCCAGCTAATACGGGGATAGAGCCTGCCAGGACTTTGACCCTGAATCCAGAGGAGCTCTGATCCCCCATAGCCAGCGGGCGTGTCGGGGCGTGAGGCTGCCCAGGGGAGGTGGGGAGGGCAGAGTTAGGCCTTCTGTGCACCCCTTCCTCTGCATGCCCAGCAACACCCTAAAACTCCCAGCCTGCCCACCCCCCTGGGGTGCAAGCATTCTGCCGGCACAGCCCCTAACACCCTGGTTTGGGCAGGGTGCTGGCCACGACACAGATGCAGGCTGCAGATGCCCGGAAATCCTTCCCGTGCTTCGACGAGCCATCCATGAAGGCCCAGTTTAACATCACCCTCATCCACCCCAAAGACCTCACGGCCCTGTCCAACATGCTGCCCAAAAGTGAGCGAGTCTGTCCTGGGGCCACACAGCCTTGGGAGGCAGGGACCTGGGGCTGGAGTGCAGGATGCGGGGGGAGGTGGGGTACATCCCCACATACTTGGATGCTCCATGCCCAGGTCCTAGTGTCTCCTTTTCGGAAGACCCCGACTGGAACATTACCGAGTTTGAAAGCACGCCTGTAATGTCCACGTATCTGCTGGCCTTCATCGTGTGCGAGTTCTCGTATGTGGACTCGAGGTCACCCAATGACGTCCTGGTACGGAGCTAGGCCCGCCAGTCCTTCCCTGGGATTGGTCCTGGCCTGAGGGGTATTCCTGTTGATCCTCATCCCTGAATCCCAGCTCTGAGTGATCTTGGGCAAGCGTCTTAAGTTCTCTGACCCTCAGTCTCTGCATCTGAAAAATAGGTCCCACCTCCTGAAGGGAGTTCCCAACTCCTGGGTGCGAGACACATGGTGGCTATGACTACTGTTATTCCCCAAAGGCTCCTCCCTATGACTCGAAGCCCCTCAGAGACCCCTAGCTCTCTCTTCTGCTGACCAGGCCTCTGGGTTTAACCTAGTTGGTCCCCCTACCAGTCTGCTGGGCCCTGGGGCTCAGCCCATCTGCACCAGGAGCCTAGAGGGACCCCTGACCTACCTCCATCCTCTTTGCAGATCCGGATCTGGGCTCGGCCTAGTGCAATTGCGGAGGGCCATGGCGTTTATGCCCTGAACGTGACAGGCCCCATCCTGAACTTCTTCGCCTCACATTATAATACATCCTACCCACTTGACAAATCCGGTGAGTGAGGGGTCTTGTGCGGTGAGGGGCAGTGGGTGGGGCTCCATAGCTAGAGGCCATCCTGCCAATGGCTGGTATCCCCAGACCAGGTCGCCTTGCCCGACTTCAACGCCGGCGCCATGGAGAACTGGGGGCTGGTGACCTACCGGGAGAGCGCTCTGCTGTTCGACCTGCTGTCCTCCTCCATCAGCAACAAGGAGCGAGTGGTCACTGTGATTGCTCATGAGCTGGCGCACCAGGTAGCCGCCCCATCGTGGGGAGTCCAGAGAAAGACACAGAGGGCCCTGGGAGGAGATGGCACAAGTCCTGGCTCTGCGCTTGGCAGCTGAGAAGGGAGGAGGGTCCCACCTGGCAGGGTAGCAGTCACCATGATGTCGGTGAAGTCCCCAGCCCGGGAATGGTGGCCCTGGGTACTGTTAGTGACTGTAAGGCCAGAGTGGCTTGCTGGGCTGACCTCCCTCCCCTACAGTGGTTTGGGAACCTGGTGACTGTGGCCTGGTGGAATGACCTGTGGCTGAACGAGGGCTTTGCCTCCTATGTGGAGTACCTGGGTGCTGACTATGCAGAACCCTCCTGGAATCTGGTGAGCCAGCTGGGGTCCGGGGTGGGGCGGGGGAAGGCCTGGGTCACCCCCTCCCAGGCCAGTCTCCTGATGGCTGTCAGGGATTTGCAGAAAGACCTCATAGTGCTGAACGACTTGTACTCTGTGATGGCCGTGGATGCACTGGCCTCCTCCCACCCGCTGACCTGCCCTGCCGACGAGGTCAACACGCCGGCCCAGATCAGTGAGATGTTTGACACCATCACCTACAATAAGGTGCTGCCCCAGCCTCTGTGTTGGTCCTGAGACAGTGGGGGGCATGCGGAGGGAGGTAGGGACTCAGCCCACGGGGGTTCCACCGCAGCCAGGGCTCCAGGAGCACCTGTCCTGGCCTGATGGGGGCACAGGGTCCCGCCAGCTCAGCACAGCCCTTCTGAACCCCTCCCCCTCCCCCAGGGAGCCTCTGTCCTAAGGATGCTCTCCAATTTCCTGACGGAGGACCTGTTCAAGCAGGGCCTGGCGGTGAGTACCCCTGGCCAGCCATGGAGTGGAGGCTGTTTCCTCCAGCCCCCGCCCCTTGTCCCTGAGCCCTGCCTACCACAGAAGTTGAGTGGTAGAGCCTGGGGATACCGGCTTTGCCCTCACAGTGGCCTGTCTTTCCGCAGTCCTACCTCCATGCCTTTGCCTACCAGAGCAGCACCTACCTGGACCTGTGGAAGCACCTGCAGGAGGTCGGTAACAGCGAGCCCCCCTGAGGCTGTTCTGTTGGGGTCCTGAGATGCTGAAAGTCCCTGGGGGCAGCACATGTGTAAGAGAATGTGCCCAGCTCCACTGCTTACCAGCCCAGGCAGGTCATTTGGAGCCTTGGTTGTTTATCTGTAAAATGGGTGCCGTGAGGGCTCCTTGAAGGAAGTGTTGTGAGACCACAGGTCAAGCCCCCTGGCAGGTGGCCTGCCTCGTGCTGTAGTGAGCTCCATGATGGGAGCCGAGGAGGCCCCTCATCTTAGCAGTGAGGAAACGGGCCCTCACGGTTCCCAAGCTCCAGCCCTCTGCTGCCTGGAACTTGGGAGCCCGTCATTCAACCTACTCAGCACTCCTGGCTGTCCTGTGCCCTGACCGGCCCCTCCCAGGCGCAACTTTGCACACACTGGCACCCTCGGCATAAACTCTGACCCTTCCATCCAGCCCCGCCTTGCATTCCTGTCCTCTCAGACCCCCAGCATTCCCTGTCTGTGCGGCAAACTCTCTGACTGGCCCCCACCCTCCTGCCTTCCCCTCCCTGCCTTTCCTAGGGCTGGAGTCTGTGCATCCCTCACCCCCATCATCTCCCCTCCCTCACAGCTGCCCCCACCCCTTCTCTGTGGCCCTCTCAGCCCGACTGACCCCTCCAGAATCCCGTGCCCCAGGCTCCCTCTCCAGCTGCTCCCCCACTGCTACCACCATCCCTCCAGTCCCCAGGTGCCCAGGCTGGGCCAGTCTGACCAGGGAGGGCAGACCCAGGGTCTTGTCATGGAGTCACAGCTGGGCTCCAGTGCCCTCCTGGCCAGTCTCCAGCCCAGCTTCCATCTGCCATGAGCCTGATCCCCCTCCCCCACCTCCCACGGCCGGCTGACAGGTGGCACTCACGGCCTCGTTCCCTCCCCTCCACTTCCACTGTCTTCGTTCCCTCCCCTCGACTTCCACTGTCTTCCTTGCCCCGCCCCAGTTTCCTGCTCCTTCCTCCCCTCCAAAGCCGAGCCCTCCTCCACGCCAGGGGCCCCTGCAGCCCCATTCCTCCCTCCCACTCCCCCTGTCCCTCAGCCCCATCTCTGCAGCCCCAGAGTGCCCTCCCCTCAGCTTATACCCTTCTGCCCTGCTCTTCTGCCCTCTTTCTTGCTCTGTTCTTAGGGTTTCACTCTCTCAGTTATTAACAGATGTTGTTGGCTTTTTGTTGTTATTACGAAAGCAGTGCACACACATGGAAAAAGACAAAAGAGGACAATAACACTCCCCAAGCCCGTCCCCAGACTCCCACCTGGGTGTGTTTCCTTCACACCGCCCACGGCCCTCCCCCTCCCCCTGCCTGTGACACCAGGACACTGATACCTCTGTCTCCTCTCCCTTCTCATCCTCCCAGGGTTGTTCAGGGTGAACCGTGGGCATCCTGGGTGCCCCTCCCTAACACCCCCCCCTCAGGTTGGGCCACAGAATGGGGGACCCCATAGATTTGTTTAATCAGTGTGGAATGAACCAGAGGCCGGGAAGTCCTCAGCTTGCCCAGCACTGGGCACCCCAGCTCCTGCCTCCCAACCCAGTGTTCTTCCACTGCCTCCCAGCAAGGGGCACCAGCGAGGAGAGGCCAGGGGCTGCAGGGGCTGCCCTGGATGGGCGGGGTGGAGGGTGGCAGTCCGCTGACAGCAGCACCATCACACTCTGCCCCAGGCTGTAGACAATCAGACAGCCATCCAGCTGCCTGGCACTATAAGCAACATCATGGACCGCTGGATCCTGCAGATGGGCTTCCCCATCATCACCGTGGACACGAAGACAGGGAAAATCTCCCAGGAGCACTTCCTCCTTGACCCGGATTCCAACGTCACCCGGCCCTCAGACTTCAAGTGAGCAGAGGGGGTCACTGAGGCAGGTGTCCTAGGGAGGCTTCTGAGGGGCAGTTGCTATGGGGCTCCCTGACCATAACAGGGTCTGGCCTGCTCTGGTCCCAGCCCTGGTGGCTGTAGACTGGCTCTCCCTCTGGGGCCAGGAGGATGGGGGCACTTAGTGCCGGAGTCAGGCAGAACTTGGGAGCCTGGGCAGGGCTGCTGTTCACTGGCAGTGGCCAAGAGCTGTGGTCTCTCACCACGTTGCCCGTGGATCTCTTGTTGCAGCTACCTGTGGATTGTTCCCATCTCGTCTATCAGAAATGGCGTACAGCAGGAGGACTACTGGCTGCAGGGCGAAGCACAAAGTAATCTGGCCCTGCCCTAGTGAACAGCAACCCCACCTGTACTCCCAGCTCCTGGCCCACATTCTGGGAGTTATGGCAGGCCTCAGCGAGGGCTTCCTTCATCATTTCATTCAGTGAATGGAGCTGACCACTTTGGTTCCAATCTCTATCCTCTCTGGCCGCCAGGAGAAATGATGGAAGGCAGGGCGGGGGGAGGGGGCGCTGAGCAGAAGAGATGGAAGGAAGAGATGACTGGTGTGGTGGTGCCGACTGGATGGGAGGCTTTGCCTGGGCTTCCCGCTCCATCGATGGGGTGTGATGGAGCTGTCACAAGCTGAAAGAGAAAGAGAAAGAAGGAGCAGCAGCAGCAGCAGCGTGGAGGCTGAGTCTGCGTGGACCGTGGCTGTGCGGACAGAGGTGTCCAGGCAGCTGTCACTTTCCGGCCTCATGGAGCCTGCAGGAGGCAGGGCCGGCACTGAGGTTCAGAGATGGCACGCTTGGTCAGCCAGAGGCGGAGTTTGGCCTGGCAGCCCCATCCTACACCCTGCTCCTCCCCTCTCCTCGGCCTCGCCCCAGAGGCTTGAGGGCCAGCTGGTGCCAGGCTGCACGGGAGGCTGCTCACCCTGAGGCCTGGAGAGAGGAGGGCCAGGGGCCAGCCTGTGCCTCCTGAGCAGCCTCACCCCAGCTCTGGTCTCTCCCCACAGCCCAGAACGAGCTGTTCAAAACTGCGGATGACGAGTGGGTCCTGCTGAACCTCAACGTGACGGGCTATTACCAGGTGAACTACGACGAAGACAACTGGAGGAAGATTCAGACCCAGCTGCAGACAGACCTGACGGTAGGTGTCGGCCACCCCAGCCCGTCCCCTGCCCCCAGCCCAGCCCCAGGATGGCACCAGACTGCAGGGCCTGCCCCCACCACCAGCCTGAGGTCACATGCTCTGTTGCCCCTCCTAGGCCATCCCTGTCATCAATCGGGCGCAGGTCATCTACGAGGGATTCAATCTGGCCAAGTGAGTGCCCCCTTCCTCCTCAGGCCCTGCCGTGCTCAGCTGTGGAAGGCCTGCTGACTTCAGCCCTAGTGGGGCTCCCTCCTGCTGTCCTTACTGTGTGCCAGGCACAGTGTGGCGGGCTCCCCGAGCTTCCATCCCCACCTCGGCCCCTACACCCCCGGAGATTATTAGCGTTGCAGCCCGTTTCCCAGACAGGAATCTGCGACTCAGAGTGTGAGGACCTCACCTGACGTCACACGTAGCCCCTGACAGCCAGACACAGGCCTGTCTAGCTCCAAAACCGCATGTCCTCCACGGCACCAAGCTTTTCCTGAGGGCCACCTGTGTGCCACGCCGCCGTGCTAGGTGCTAAAAAAATCTGGGAAGGACAGGACATGGATAAACAAACCTTTATCGAGCACCTGCTGTGTTCCCAAAAGGTGCTAAGCTCTTTGACATAAGTGACGTCACCACAGATGTGGACATTTATGAACAAATGTGCACAGAGGGCCTGAGGAGGAGGAGGAGGGAGCCAATCAGAGTAGAGGCAGATGGAGGAAAGAGCACTAGCTTTAATTCCTTTTGAATCTCAGCTCTGTCTCTTATGGGCAAGTCTCTTCACCTCTCTGAGCCTCAGTTTCCTCATCTGTTAAGTGGGGATAATAAGCAAGGGAATGTGACTGGCAGTGGGTGAAGCCAGGGCCTGGGCTGGCCTTGTTTGTGGTAGTGCCCAGCATCCACGTGTCCTCCCGCGCCAGCCCCACACCCAGGGAACGCTGAGCTGGCTCGGTTGAGGGTCTGGGACCTCAGGCTCCAGGAGGGGGCTGGGGTTCCCACAGTGAGGCTGGACTGGGTGGGCGTGCTTACTTGGGCCCTTCTGTTTGTCCCCAGTGCCCGAAGGATCCCTGTCACCCTGGCGCTGAACAACACCCTCTTCTTGATCGGAGAGCAAGAGTACATGCCCTGGCAGGCCGCCCTGAGCAGCCTGAGGTACTTCGAGCTCATGTTCGACCGAACCGAGGTCTACGGCCCCATGAAGGTACAGAGGGCGTGGCCGGATTCAAGGACCAGTTCTGAAATGGCTCCGTTAGGAAGTCAATAGAAATATTGCCTGGAGTGATGGAACCCTCCGGCTGACACGACACTAGGTCCTTTGTTGAGAGCAGGCTCAGCAAAGGGGAGAGCGCAGGAGGGCCAGAGGGTTGAAGAGCGCTGGGGGGGGGGCGGGGCGGAGAGGACGCAGACTTGTAGCTGGCAGATCTGGCAGTCAGCACTTGCAGATGGCACAGGAAAGGCCTGTGGGCTGGGGGGCAGAAGGCCTGTCTTTTGAGCTGTGTGGGCTTCGGCACCCCGTCTTCAGCCCCAGAGAAGCCCTCTGTGAAATGAGCAGGCCCGTATTTGCCTCGCCTGCCTGTTGGCCTGGGAGGGAGATGCGGGCGTTAACGGTTGACACATGGGGAGCCGAGGCTGCCGCTAGAGAGGGAGACCTGGGGAAGCTCAGCTTGCTCTGGATGAAGCTAGATCCGTAAGGACGTTCGTGGCAGCATTGTTTATAAAAGACAAAAAACTGAAAACACTTACATGTCCAACAGCTGGGGACTGGTTAAGTAAACTAGAATAGCTATTTAATGGAATATCATGTAGATCATACTTGAAGAGATCATTTTTTTATTAAAATTTTTTCACATTATTTATTAACTTCCTATTATGGTAAATGAAGTATTATGGTAAATGAGGTTTTAACTCATTAACCTACTTTCCTCAAATTCACTCCATCCTCGTGATGTAGCTAAATCACGATACTTGGTCAAATCAGTAATCAGCATTTGCTTTATTGTGATTATTTAAATATCATTCTCTGTTGAGCCATATAGAGTACTATGATTATGTTTCCTTTTTTATACATCTTGTACAAATGTATCAGATAATGCCTCTGTTTTGCTTTTTCCTGGAGACATCTCTCCTGGAGCCCTCATGTTGACGGCTCCCTTCTAGAACTTTCTAGAACTGCTGCTCGGCACCCATGAGTGGTGTAGGTCTGTGCCTGGGAACCGAACCTGGGCCACCAAAATTAACCACTGGGCCACGGGGCCGGCCCCTCATTTTCAGTTCTTTGTATGTGGCCAGTTTCCCTCTTCTGGAAGCTTGTGGGCTCATGTCTCAACCAGGTGGCCTCCACTGGGCATTTCTCGTCCTTCTACTGTTTCAGTCTGGGCTTTTTTGCATTGCTCTTTCACGCTTTCTTCCCCTCCTCTTTTCCAGTCCTCCCTTCCTGGGACCTCTGTAAGTCCAGCTCACTGCTCTTCATTGGTTCTCCAGTTTTCTTCTCTCTTCTATTTTCCAGCTTGTTCATTTTTTGTTCTGCCCTCTGGGATATGCACACCACCTCCCCTCTACAGATTGTTTTAATTTCTTCCATCATATTTTTAAACTTCCAATTTCCGTTCCTGGCTCTGGCGTCCTATGAAATAGCTTCTCTGAACTCCCTGGGGGGATATTTACGAAATTTTCCTTTTCTTCCATTGACTTGTTTCCTCTGAGTCTTCTGTTTGTTTTGGTCTCCTTTCAAGTTGGAGGCTGAGCTGCCCCTTTGGATTTGAGAGTAAGGCAATAAAAAGTGATTGGAAACTCCATGGGGAGGTGGAGTTTGTCATCTATGGGTCTTGTTGTGGGGTGACTGAGTGGCCAAGCAACTCCTCACGAGGACTCTCAAAAATTAGTGCCTGTGAGAGCCAGCCCTGATGGCCTAGTGGTTAAAGTTTGGCACGCTCCACTTTGGTGGCCCAGGTTCAGTTCCCGGGCGTGGAACCACACCACCCGTCTGTCAGTTGCCATGCTGTGGCGGCGACTCACATAGAAGAACTAGAAGGACTTACAACTAGAATATGCAACTGTGTACGGGGGCTTTGGGGAGGGGAAAAAAAAAAAAGGAAGAAAGGAAGATTGGCAACAGATGTTAGCTCAGAGCAAATCTTTCCCAGCAAAAAAAAATGAGTATGTGTGAGTGTGTTCCCTTGAGACCACTCAGTCTCCAGAGAGTGAGCCCCTGTCTTGTGCAATGGGGCTGGTGATGGGATCAGAGTGGGGAAGGAAACTGGGGGGCACCTCCATTTAGTATGTGAGCTTTCGCCTCTGGCCCTCTCTGCAGTCCAGCCACCCTCCCACTGTGTCTGGGGACCCCTAGTTCTGAGTCCTTTGATTCAGCCTCACCCATGAGGGAGGGAGGGGTGTTACGTGCTGTAAGGAGGGAAGTGGGGGCTTGAGAGTTTAATTACTCCTTCTACGGACGTTGACCCCATCGCCCTGTTTACGGCTGCTGCCTCACTCCTGTCCCACCGACCCATCCCTCTAATTCTGAGCCTTGTCACCGCAAATCTTGCTTCCGTCTCCATCTCCCCCTTGGTGGGGCTCTGTCGCAGACTCTCCCACTCTGCCACGCCTGTCCCATCTCCCTCTCTTCGCCCTCCAGCTCCTAAACTGTGTGGATGTCTCATCCATGTTGTTTCCTTTCCTGTTCTCTTTGTTCTTCAGGGTTTATTCCTTTTACATTTGGAGACAGATTCTGGTTGGTACACATGACCATCTACCACACTGAACCAGAGTCCGCAAAGGATTTTAATAACGTGGGGTGGGGCTTATGTTACAATGTCAGATAAAAAGAGCACTGTGCAGAATTGTAGATATGCCAGGTAGAAAAGAAAAAAGAAGGGGTAAACTCATTAATTTGGAAATTATTGGTTTGGTAAGCTCCTACCTGGTTTTCATCTTCTGCGTATGCTTTTCTGTGTTTTGTGGAATACTTATGATCGGCCGCCGGGGAGTGGGGGACGCCCAGCACTATATTAAGAAATGGTGACACTTAGACATGGAGTGCTAGAATTGCCTGAGGCTTTGAGAAGAAGGAACCCCAGACGAGTCCTCAGAAACCTGGCCTCGTGCTGGCCCCTGTGAGCACTGTCTGGCTTTGGGCGAGGCCCGAGCCTCTGGCCTCTTTGCTTCTGCAGCCACTAGCCCTTGCTCCACCTGCCCAGCCACGTCATAAGCTCCACGGGGTCCAGGCAGGTCAGGCATGAGTCTCCCCTTTGAAGCTATTTATGTTTTCTTTTCCCCAGAGCTACCTGAGGAAGCAGGTCACACCCCTCTTCAATCATTTCCAAAGTACTACCAGCAACTGGACTCAGCGCCCAGAAAGCCTGATGGACCAGTGAGTATGACCCCTCCTGGTGTGGAGGTCACAGGTGGCCCAGCCACCCAGCAGTATCCTCCTCTGGAGCTCCCAACTCCTGGCCAGACCAGGGCCGCCAGACAAGGAGACACCCCCCACCCCAGAGACACCCCTGCCCTGAGGCCCCATGTGGCCTGTGGGCCCATCCGACCTCTTTGTACAAAGGACCAAACTGAAACTCCAAGGTCCCCTCACCAGCTTGGTCATTCAGGTTTTAGGTGTTGAAGCTGAGGCTGGAGCCTGTGCGGGCCCCTGTGTGTCCCCAGGCTGCCTTGGGGACTGAGGAAGCTCAGGCCTGAGGCATGAAGCAAATAGGGGGACTCCAGAGGGCCAGACAGGCTGCAGCCTTAGACAGAGACCCCTGGCCCTGCTGCCCTGCCTGGAGTTGTGTGTCAGCAGGGGCCAGGCAGGCTGACCACATGTCACTACCGGGGCAGGTACAACGAGATTAACGCCATCAGCACCGCTTGCTCCAATGGGGTTACTGAGTGTGAGGATCTGGTCTCGGCCCTTTTCAACCAGTGGATGGAAGACCCCGATAATAACCCGTGAGTGTGTCCCCTCAATCTTCATCTGTCCCTCAAGCCCGCAGCTCTGTCCTCCTCTCCACCCTCCCTGCTGTTGCTCCACCCCTGACAGCCTCCACCCCATGCCAGGATCCACCCCAATCTGCGGGCCACTGTCTACTGCAAAGCCATCGCCCTGGGTGGCAAGAAGGAGTGGGACTTCGCCTGGGAGCAGTTCCTAAACGCCACGCTGGTAAACGAAGCTGACAAACTCCGCACAGGCCTGGCCTGCAGCAACGAGATCTGGATCCTGAACAGGTGAGGACCTGGGCCGGGCGGGGTGGGTGAGTCCCCCTCCTCCCCGGGATCAGGGGCCAGATGTGGAGGAGAAGGAACCAGCCAGGCCTCCACACTCTCATTCCCGGGGTCCTCACAAACCTGCGCGGTGGGGCAGTATTTTCCCCATTTTGAGGACACTGAGGCTCAGAGAAGCAAAGCAACTTGCCCAAGGTCCAGATGCTTAATAAGTGAGAGAGTCAAGATGTGAACCCAGGTCTGCGTCCACATCCTGTGCTTTTAACTGCTGTAGCCTCTTGACCTTTACTCGACAGCAGCTCAGTCTCCCTCTGTCAGGGGCTCTGGTGCAGCTGGACCTGAGTCCTTCTGGACGTCCAGCTTGGTACCCTCAAGCCCTTGGCTGAGGGCTCCTGGCTCCCACTGTGTGCCTCATATGCCATCAGCTGGACCCCAGTAAAGAAGAGCCACCCTCAACATCAAAGATAGGAGTGGCTGTCCCACTTGGTCCAGGGCTCGCGGCCCTAGTACTCCTTCCTTCCTTCATCGTCAGACATTTATCAGGCACCAGGTCATAACAGGCATGACACCTGGCATAGCCAGTGACCCTGCTTAGGGAACTCAGTGTCCCATCTACAAGAGGGATGTAGGACCAAGGAGTCTTCAACCCTCGGCGTGCTGAAGGGACGTTGAGAGGATGTGGTAGGGATGTGCGTGGCAGAGGGCAGGGTGCTTTGCTGTCCTGGGTTCTCTCTCCAATCTGACTGCAGCCCGTGGAAGTGGTCGCTAACATGGCATCCTGCCCTCACAGGTACCTGAGTTACACCCTGAACCCTGACCTCATCCGGAAGCAGGACGCCACCTCCACCATCACCAGCATCGCCAGCAACGTCGTCGGGCAAACTCTGGCCTGGGAGTTTGTCCAGAGCAACTGGAGGAAGCTCTTTCTGGAGTGAGTCTGCTGGAAGCATGTCAGGGGGAAATGCACACCAAGGGTGGGGTGCCCCGGTGTGGTCTGTGTGGACAGAACATCACAGGGTTGAGAGTTGGGGGGTGGACACTGCATAGGAGTGGTCAAAATTAACACAGCTTGAGGTCGAGTAGCGGGCAGAAACTGCAAGAGAAGGCAGGGTACGGGCCCTCCTTTTTCCCACTTGGGGGAAAGAAAGTCTGGCTGCTGGGAGTGTTCTCCGGAGGGACAGGAGCAAGGACACTGCAGTCCAACCCGCACTCAAGTTCCTAGTGGTGTCTCCTTGGGCGTGTCATTTCATCTCATCTACAAGATGGGGACAGTCACAGGGTAGTTGTGTGGATTTAGTGTCACCTGCCAGTCACTGAGCGTCAGTTCCCGGCCCCTCTCACGGTTCATCTCTCTCCCCGCCCTGCAGTTACGGTAGTGGTTCCTTCTCCTTCTCCAACCTCATCCGGGGAGTCACCCGACGATTCTCCACCGAGTACGAGCTGCAGCAGGTAGGAAGCCCTGGGCCGTGCGATGGCACCCAGAGGCCCATCTAAAGGGACGGCTGCCATTCATCTCCCGCCAAATGTGGCCACAGGGGAGCGTGGGCTGCATGTTGCGAGGCCTTACTCAGTTATAGGGGAAGCTGGGTATCCAGACTTTCTTTTTTTGTGTGTGAGGAAGATCAGCCCTGAGCTAACATCTATTGCCAATCCTCCTCCTTTTTCTTCCCCCAAAGCCCCAGTAGATCGTTGTATGTCATAGTTGCACATCCTTCTAGTTGCTGTAAATTCAGACTTTTTAAATGGTTGACAATTCAATCAAAAATATTCATCTTGGTGGGGCCGGCCAGGTGGTGCAGTGGTTTAAGTGCATGCGCTCCGCTTCGGCGGCCCGGGGTTCACAGGTTCGGATCCCGGGTGCACACCGATGCACGGCTTGTCAAGCCATGCTGTGGCGGCATCCCATATAAAGTAGAGGAAGATGGGCACGGATGTTAGCCCCGGGCCAATCTTCCTCAGCAAAAAAGAGGAGGATTGGCATTGGATGTTAGCCCAGGGCTGGTCTTCCTCACAAAAAAAAAGGAAAAATATTCATCTTGGAATTTTTGTGTAGGCAAAAAGTAAAGAGAATAATATAATGAACCTACATGTATGCATTACCCAGATCGAACAATTATCAACATTTTTCCAACACTTTTTTAGGATGGACAATTTTCAAGCAAATCACTGATATTAAATAATTTCACCTGTAAATATTTCAATCATATCTAAAACAAAGGAATTTTTTAAACGTAATCTCACTGTCATTAGCAAACCCAAGAAAATTAACAATTCTTTACTATCGTCTTATACCCAGGCCATTTTCAAATTCTCTAAGTTGTTTTTTTAAAAAAGTCTTTTTGCAATTGATATGTATGTTTGAATCAGAAGCCAAACAAAGTTAACTCATTGCATTAGGTTGATTCATCTTTTTTTAATTGAGATATAATTCATTATATTATAAAATTCACAATCTTAAGTGGTTTTTTAGTATATTTTACAAGGTGTACAACCATCACAACCATCTAATTCTAGAGCATTCTCATTACCTCCAAAAGAAATCTCATATCCATTAGCAGTCATTCCCCCTGTCCCCAGCCCCTGGCAACCACTAATCTACTTTCTGTCTCTATGGATATGCCTATACTGAATATTTCATATAAATGGAATCATACAATATGTGGTCTTTTGTCTCTGGCTTCTTTCACTTAGCATAGTGTTTTCAAGGTTCATCCACATTGTAGCATGCTGTATCATTCCTTTTTATGACAGTGAAATTTCCTTGTGTGGATATACCACATTTTGTTTATCCATTGATCAGTGGACAGACGTTTGCGTTGTTTCCACTTTTCCACTACCTGTGAATAATGCTGCTATGAACATTCATATACAAATTTTTGAGTGAACACACGTTTTGGTTTCTCTTGGGTATACACCTAGGAGGGGAATTTTTTGGGTCATTTGGTAACTCCATGTTTAACTTTTTGAAACATTGCCAAAATATTTTCCAAAGCGACTGCACCAATTTATATTTCCACCAGCAATGTATGAGGGTTCCAATCAATTTCTTTAGGTCTTTTCAGACACTTGTTATTTTCTTCTTTTTTTTTAAATTATAGCCATCCTAGTGCACATGAAGTGGTATCTCATTGTGGTTATGAGTTGCATTTCCCTAATGACTAATGATGTTGAGCATCTTTTCATGTGCTTATTAGTCGTTTGTATATCTTCTTTGGAGAAATGTCTATTCAAATCCTTCACCTATTTTTTAATTGGGATATTTGTCCTTTTATTGTTGAGTTGTAAGAGTTCTTTATATATTCTGAATACTAGGCCCTTATTAGGTATATGATTTGCAAATATTTTTTCTCATTCTGTAGATTTTTTTTTTACTCTCTTGATAGTGCCTTTAGATACACATAAGTTTTTAATTTTGATGAAGTCCAGCTGTTGCTTGTGCTTTAGATGTCATACCTAAGAAACAATTGCCTAATCCAAGGTCATGAAGATTTACACCTATGCTTTTTACTAAGAGTCTTATCATTTTAGCTCTTACATTTAGGACTTTGATTAATTTTTGACTTAATTTTTATGTATGGTGTGAGGTAGGGGTCCAACTTCATTCCCTTGCACGTGGCTATCCAGTTGTCCCAGCACCATTTGTTGAAAAGACTATTCTTTCCCCCAGTGAATGGTCTTGGCACCCTTGTTGAAAATCAATTGACTATAAATGTGAGGATTTATTTCTGGACACGCTATTCTATTTCATTGATGTGTCTGTCTATCCTCATGCCCGTACCACACGGTCTTGATTACTGTAGGTTTGTAGTGAGTTTTGAAATTGGGAATGTGAGCCCTCCAATTTTGTTCTTTCAAGATTGTCTGGCTATTCTGAGTCCCTTGCATTTCTTTATGAATTTTAGGATCAGCTTGCAAATTTCTGCAAAAAAGGCAGTTGGAATTTTGAGAGATTGCATTGAATCTGTAGATCAACTTGGGGAGTATTGCCATGCTAATAATACTAAATCTTCCAATCCATTAACACAGATTTATTTGGGTCTTTTTTCCTTCTATTTCGGTCTTAATTTTTTTCAACGTTTTATAGTTTTCAGCATACCAGTCTTGCACTTCTTTTGTCAAATTTATTTCTAAGTACTTTATTCTTTTTGATGCTATTGTAAATGGAATGGTTTTCTTAATTTCATTTTCAGATTTTTCATTGCTAGTGTATAGAAATACAATTGATTTTTGTAAATTGCTCTTGTATCCTGCAACCTTGCTGAACACATCAGTTTTAATAGTTTTTTTTGTAGATTCCTGAGGATTTTCTATATATAAAATCATGTCATCTGCAAATAGAGTTTTTCTTCTTCTTTCTTGGATGCCTTTTATTTCATTTTCTTGCCTAATTGCCCTGGCTACAACCTCTGGTACTAATATAGCTTTCAGTCTGTAACATCTCTTTTTAAAAAAATACCATTTATTTGTTGATGCAACTGGGTCATTTATAGTATAGAAATGGCCACATTTTGGCTGGTTGCTTCCTTGTAGTGTCTGTTTAGTTTGTCCCTCTTGCCTACCTTGATTGGATTGAGATTGCAATTCAATTAAAAACTGAGGGTCAACTCAGTGAAGAGCCACACAATGAAGGCCAAATACATGGAGGAGCCAGATTTACCCTGAGGCTGTCATCCTCAACCTCTGCCCTAGATAAGGACTTTGCCCAGGGAGAGGGAGGGACCGGCCCTTCCTGCCCTGGAGAACAGGCTGTGGCCCTCATGGGGGTGGGGGCCCTAATGTGGAGTGGGAGGACAGAGGCCTGGGTGGCCCTCTCCTCAAAGCTGTGTTAGAGACCCAGCCTGAAGCTAAGAATCTTCCTTTTCCTGGCAGCTGGAGCAGTTCCAGGAGGATAACATGGACATAGGTTTTGGCTCAGGCACCCGGGCTCTGGAGCAAGCCCTGGAGAAGACCAAATCCAACATCAAGTGGGTGCAGGATAACAAGGAATTTGTGCTCAATTGGTTCACAGAAAACAGCGAATAGTCCCTGTCCTTACAGTCACCAGGCCCCCACGTGCATCTGTCCCAGTGGCCCACAGCAGGACCCCCATTCCTGGAGCCTGAGGCACCAGCATCCTCCTCTCAGGAACAAAGTCTTTGGCCCACGTTCTCTGCACTCATGGGACCAATCCTGATGGCCAGACTGTCCAAGCGCCTCCCAGCCCCTGCCCCTCATGCCAACCCCACCCCAGGCCTGTCACCCAGGGCCCTGGGGCTAATCTCAGGGAAGCCCAGCTCCAGGGCCAGATGAGTGGAAGCCCTCGATGGACAATGGATGGCCTTGGGGGGCTGCCCTGCACCCTCTCTCACCTTCCCATAAAGACCCTGAACCTGAAGAATCAACACAGCACTAGATCTGTATATTTTTTTTCTAAGAGAAAATGTAAATAAAAGATTTCTAGATGAGCTTCCAGACTCATTACTAAACTAGAGCAGGAGTGGGTCCGCACAGCAGCTGGGGGGACTGGGATGGAGGGAACCTGGGGTGTATGGGAAGCACTGTAGGGGTCTGGGACCCCCAAGGAGCATAGGAGGGGAGAAGTACCCAGCCCCCTGGTCCTTCCTACGAGACACCTGTGTGGTGGTGTCCACTTGCTGCATTCATTTCATCCGAATTCCCATGGCAGGCTTAAGATGCTGGGTGCTGGGGAACCATGGGAGGCAGGGGGCAGGCGACTGGACACAGTGGTTCCCTTGGTGGAGTGGGGAGAGCTAGGGCTTGATGCCAGGTAGAGAGCAAGTCCTGACACTGGAGGGAGTGCTTTTTCAGAAAGCAGGAGTTTTCACAGTTGTAGAAGCTAGGGTTTGCACCCCCTCACATGAGGCAAGGGAGCAGTGTGCTGGCTGGGTCCTTCTTCCTATACCACAGCAGCACACCTGGGACACCTGGGACAGTGAGAGAAAGGGGCTTGCAGGGAGGGCAGCAAGCCCTGGGTGCCAGGCCTGGTGCAACCACTCACTGGCCATGGGCACGTCCCACCACCCCTCCAGAATCTGTGGTAGATATCAATTTGAAAACTGGTTCTTTTCAAGAGTAGTGTACAGAAAAAGGCAAGTGCCCTCCAGATCACCTGGGGCAGCCAGGGGTCAGGCCACCCTGAGGAGAAGGCCTGGGATCCACAGCCCTCCACAGCCCACAGTGGCCTTGGTGAGAGTTTCTTGGCAACGCCGCCCCGTTGTAGAAAGCTCACCTCAGCCTCAGCCCCACGAGGCCCAGCTGAGCATCCGAGGCTGGTGGGAGGAAAAGAGGGAGGAAACAGACAGCAGCAGGGCTCGTTGGGGGGTCACCTCCAACTGACACCACAGTGAGCTGCTGGGCTGGAGTCCTGGAGTCCAGGGGCCTGGTTTCAGATCACTGCTCAGCCAGCTTCTTGGGCAAGTGATCTAAATGCCTGAGCTTCACTTTAAGACCACTGATCACAGGGTTGGTGTGTGACTCTAAGGAGATTCACGGAGTTAGCCACATGTACGGCCCCACATGTCAGGAGAGCTAGGTATTGTCATCCTTAGCCCTGTCTCCTGGCTCAAGGCCCTGCCCACCCTCTTCCCTCACAACCTGTCCCTCTTGTGAGAAGCAGGTGGTCTGGGGCAGGGGAGGCTCCTCCATGCTTTACTGTCTTCTGCACATCAAAGGGTGGGGCGGGCCAAGGGCCGGGGCTGGCTGTGGTTACAAGCTGGGGTCCCTCTCCAACCAGGAGGTTCCCCCTAGCCCAGCCCCTCTGGGCCAGCCCTTCCTGTCGCCAGTGCCCAGAGGCTGCGGCTGGCACTTGACCTGGGGACCAGAGGGCAGGCCCCCTCAGGTGGTCCCCACTGGGGGAGGGGCCAGCCCCACCAGCTAGGGTCTCTGGGGAAGGTTGGCTTCCCATGAGAAGAATCGACAGGGATCCCAGTCTCTGTGCCTGGCACTGGGCTAAGCGTTTATGCGCATTATCTCGTTTGGTTCTCAACAGTCCCAGGAGATAAGATAAGGACTGTCTTTATCTCAGCAAACTGAGGCGCAGGGAGGTTAAGTCACAACTCTGTAGAGCTAGGAGACCCGCCCCCCCCCCCCCCCCAATGCCCGTACATGAGTGGAAGCCCATCCCCCACTGGGACCTGGGGCAGGGTCTGTGACATCCACACATTACAAGGTTACAAGCTCGCACTGCCTGACAGCTTACAACCTTGGCATTCATAACACCCTGTGCCTGCACAGCTGGAGGAAATCAGTTCCCCAGGGATGCAGCGAGGACATGCAGAGCCAGAGAACTGCCTGCAGACCCTTGCTCAAGGTCACATGCAGAGCAGGAGCTGACTAGAACTCAGACTGCTCACTCCCTGTCCAGCGCTCTGTCTGCCAGTGGGTTGAGCCCTCAAGGCCAGTGGGGGAAGAAGGAAGGCCCTGAGGATCAGCAAGAAGCAGCCAGGGTGTAATGCCCTCTCTCACCTTGCCACCCTCCAGGAGGCCCCTCAGGAAGCATGTCCTCTACACTGCAGGGTCACTGAAAGGCCTGAATGACAGATTCAGTGAATGTCCAGTCTCTTATGGATGGCGACTAGAGTCCTTAGGAAGACATGGGTAGACCAGTCATCGGAGGCAGGGCACCAGCGTCAGCAGCCCCTCTCCCTTTCCTGCCAGGCACTTAGCAGAGGGGTGAAGCCAAGAGCAGCATGCCTGGGATGGGGCCAGGGATGGAGGCCGGGGGCTGCTGCTTCTGAGAGGCAGGGCTGAGCCTTCCCTCCCAGAGGGGAGGACAGGGCTAGGGGATTAAGCCAAGCCCTCTGGCCCTGCTCCCTCACTTCAGAAGCACCTAGGATGTCTCCCAGGTAACTCCAGCTGGGGGATGGTGGCCTCTGGCCTCTGCCTCTGCCCCTCCTAGAGGAGCACCTCTTGAGGGCAGCTGGGAGAACAAGCTGCCAAGTTCCAAAAGATGCTCAGCTCCGGCTGCTGCTGGTGAGGGCCACTACTATCTTGGGCTCCACTCCAGCCCTTGCAGGGCTTCAGAGCAGAGGAGTGTGGCCACCAGTGACTGGACCAGGGAGTACCACTCTGTGCCTAGAAGGACAAACCCTAGATTGGTGAGAGCCAAAGGAAGGAGACGGGCAGTTGTTCAGGTCTGCCTTAGGTGCAGAAGCCATCACCGTGGAGCCAAGACCTTGGGTCTTCTCAGGAAAGAGAGAGCATTAGACAGGGAGCCAGGGGCCCGACGGCCATACCTAGCTGGGGGCTAGGGATAGTTGCTCCCCCCCACCCCCGGCTTATTTCCTCACCTGTAAAATGAAGAGGCGAAGAACAGCCATTGCTCCTGCAAGAGATTTTCACATATTGAGGTATATGGGGTAACTATTCAGATTGAAAACGATTTGGCTTGAACTAAAAAAGCCTGACTTAATGGCCTTTCAAACATACATTGTACATGTGCTTTAACGGTGAAGTAAAGACTGCACTCTCTTAAGAGTGCACACTTCCCCTCCTACGCCCCGTTGGTAACGCCCTATTGGTAATGCTGCCCGTATTTGTTCCTTTCCTGACATCAGGGTCATGTTGACCTGCTATTTTGCAACTAAATACCTCTTTGGAACTTTGAAAATGTATCCTGGGTGTGTTTAATGTATGCTCTTTGTTCTAAAAAGATACGACTGAAAACCATGCTTCTGTGGAACACTTTCTTCCTTTCTGGAAAAGGCCTTCCTGGGTTATAATCCACACTCTGGCTCAAGTAAAACTCATCTATTTCTCTTACGTATAGAATGGTTATTTTGCATCGACACTCCCAAACCCGGCTGGGGCTCAGAATCCCTGGGGAGGATCTTGTTAAAGCCCCAGGTCCCAGGCCCTGGTCGATGCACTGAATCATGCTCTCCGGGTGGGAACCTGGAACCAGATGGCTCAACACACACCAGGTGAGGGAACTACTGGACTGGGTCACCTCTTAGGTCGTATGGTTCTCTTCAGCTACTGTATATCGAGCAACGACTATGTGCCCAGCCTAAGAGCCCTGAGAGGAAGGGTCTACTATTGTCTCCATTTCAAAGCTGAGCAAACTGAGGCTCAGGGAGGTTTCGTAGCTTGCCCACGGTTACATAGCTGAATGGAACGTGCACCCAGGTCAGCTGTGCCCTGTACCCGTCTCCTTGCTGTGTGTAACCTTGCATGTGGTTTTCTCACCCCTCCAGCTGTGGCTGTCAGCCCCTAGGGACATGAGGGCCCTAGAGCAGGAACCAGAATCCACGTCTAGAAGTTACGGCAAGAAGGCACCGCAGGGGTCACCTAAGCCAGTTCCTTTTTTAGGAGATGGGGAAACTGAGGAACAGAGACGGAGTGCCTTGCCTGATGTCATAGGGCACGTCAGCAGGCAATGGGCTACCCCGCAGCGTCAGACAGAGACAGACGCATCTACCCCGCGTGTGGCCTAGAGCTCAGGCAGTTCATGCTCTGATCTCGTTCCCTCCCTTTCTCCCGCCCTGCACTGTTACAGGGGCCTCCCTGCCGGGCTCCATCTCTGTGAAGCAGCCAAAGAGACCAAGAGCAGCTCTGACCAGCTCACCCCCACCCCCAACCTCCAATGTCTCCCCATCACCTAGGAAACAGAGGCCAATGCCTCACCATGCTGCCACATGAGCTCCTTTCCCAACTCTGTTGGTCGCTTTTCCCTGTCAAGTCTGGACTTGAGCCACTTCTGCTTCAACTTGGCTCATGTTGTTTCTTCTGCCTGGATCACTCCGCACTCATTCCTCTTGGCAAACTCCCCCACATCCCTCAATACCCAGCTCCAACACCCGGAACTCTCCCCTACTCGTGTTAGAAGATACAGAAGGAAGTTCCCACCACCGCTGGCTCTTAAGCCCATGGCAGCCTTTGCTAATGGATCCCAGCATCCTTTCCCCAAGATCCTGGAGGTGCCTCTTACTCTTACTCAAGACAGCATAAATCAAGGCAGCAGGACTGATGGATCAGTAACTCAAGAATGAAACTATATATTGTCAACCCCATCTCCCACCAGGCTGTCACATCCTCTCTGGTCCCAAAGTACCTTGTATAAACCCCACCCTTGATCTGGGCTCTGTTAGTTGGGAAATGCTTCTCTCTGGCACCTAATAGTGGGTATTATGAGCTGAACTGTGTTCCCCCAAAATCCATGGTGAAGTTCTAACCCCCAGGACCTCAGAATGTGACTGTATTTGGAGACAGAGTCTGTAAAGAGGTAATTAAGTTGAAATGAGATCATACAAATGGGCCCTAATCCAATACAACTAGTGTCCTTAGAAGAGGAGATTAAGACGAGACACACAGACTTCGGGTGACCATGTGAGGACACAGTGAGAAGGCAGCCATCTGCAAGCCAAGGAGACAGGCCTCAGAAGAAGCCAAACCTGCTGACACCTTGATCTTAGACTTCTAGCCTCCAGAACTGCGGGAAATAAATTTCTGTTGTTTAAGCCATCCAGTTTGTGGTACTTTCTTTAGGCAGCTCTAACAAACTAATACACTGGGCCTAGCATGTGGGAGCCACTCACAAGCATCCTTTGGAAACAATGTCATATAACTGTGAAAGAGCCCTCGGGCAGCAGGAATGCACCCAGAGGGATGGAAACGGGCAATGGTGATGAGTCTGCGGCAAGTGTGCAAGTCCAGTGTTAACCCACCTGTGCCACCCGCACAGCAGGCCAGGGGGAGCCTCTGTGCAGTAAATATTGTCCAACTGGCAAGTGAGGGCCCACTCCCAACCTTGGTAGGCCTGGATTCGGGAGGGGAAGAGCAGCATGACTTGTTCCCCGCAGGACGGGAACATTCTTCCTTTTCCAGAGGCAATAAAAACCCAGGTTGGTAGAAGAAAAACAGATCAAACCAAATTTTGGGTGTTTTTTTAAGTACAAAATCTAAGCATATAGGCTTCTGCCCACCCCCAACCCTGAACCCACTCCCCACCAGTCCCAGCCTGGCCAACTTCGTGGTCAAGCACCACCTTACTGTAGCTCAGGCTGTGTCTACAGAGCATCAGTCCTTCTGGGGGGTGTCTAGGAGTAGAGGGCACTGCCTCAGCCCCGATCGCAGCCGGGGAGGCCATCCACTATTTGTTTCAACACTGCTTCCATGAAAGACATCACTTGGAAAAGGGATCCTTGGCTAAAGGAAAGCTTGAAAACCACTGAAGTAGAAACTGAGGAGGGTGCTCCATACGACAGGTCTGATTCCTGGCTGAAAAGGAGGCAGGCAAGGCCATTAGAAGATGCCCAGGTGGGGCCCCTCCAGATCTTCTTGCCAAAGTTCAGGGCAGCCACTGAGACGCAGGCCTGAGCTCTGGGGAGGGCTTTCATCACTGAGCTGGAAGGCAGGGCCTGGTCCCTGGTCCTCTGAGCTGGGGAGCACCTCTGCACTGCGGCTCCAGCATCCCCACTGGGTCTGAGGCTGGAGTCTCTGGCATGCTGGGTGGGGCAGGAGGGGTGGGGTTTCTGGCAACAGACAGGGCTCCAGAGACACAGAGATACCCTGCAACAGAGACAACAGCAGCTGGTTAGTGGGCCACTGCCTGATGCCCCGAGATCTGAACCTGGACGCTCTCCAGAGTGTTGCTGACAGGTTCTGAACAGCCCTAGTGCTGTGGATGCAGTGAAACAACGTGGTGAAGGGAACTGGCTCTGGAAATAGACTGCCAGAGTTCAAATCCCAGCTTTGCCCCTCACTAGCTACGAGAACTCAGCTGACTTCTTTTAGTCTCAGTTTTTGCATCTGTAAAATGGGGATGATGATGCTAACACCTACTTCATAAGGTTGTTGGAGGGCTGAATGAGTTAATACCTGTCAAGTGCCAAGAATAGTAAGCGTTCAATAAATTTTCGTTATTAATATGCTCTTTTATGGACCATGATTCACTCATTCATGGGCCTCATGAATGACTGCAGCTTGAAGGAAGCATGAAGGTCACCAGCTCCAAGCCCAACTGCTCAGGAAGCCCCTACTCCCGGTGTCGGCTGGTCCTTCCTCCCCCTCAACACTTACTGGAGCACCTGGAGCGAATTTCCTGACAGTGGCCCCTGAAGCAAGTCCGAGGACTCCCCCCTCTTCCACATGTCTGTGAAGACTTCTAGGTACAGGTGGTGGTGGCCTTAACTCCCCAGGGCCCCACTTCTTTCCCCAAGGAGATTAGGGTCCTCTCCATCCTCCCTAGAGCTTCTCTCCACTCCTAACCAGGGTTGGATTAGAGAACCCGGGATCTAAAAAGCACTATATTCTCTGCAGACTAGAGCCTACCCACCTCCTCCATTTCCAATTGAAGCCTGGAGACCACCACAAGGGAAGCGGAGAGGGCCTCGGGGGCGCGTACCTGGTACACTGCAGCCAGCTCCCCGGGCGAGGGGGATGGCGTCCAGGGCGTGGCGTAGTTCCTGGACTCTGGGGACGTCTGGGTTCCCGAAAAGACTTGGGGCGGCGTCCAAAGGGCCGCGTCGCGGGCTCTCCCTTGGGACAGATGTGGGGGCGACTGCATCCCAGGGCAGTCAGGCGGTGTCACCCAGGGACCCATGTCGGGGATCCTGTTCCCCAGGACCTCTGGCGCCGCCGGGGCCTCGGGGCAGGCTGGCGGGAATGCCCAGGACGCCGCGGCGCCGGTGGCTGAGCCCAGGCCCGGGCCGCGCGCCTGCGTCTGCGCCTGCGTGGTGCCGCCGTCGGGGCAGAGCGGGCAGCCCCGAGGGAGCGGCGCGTCGCTGTGCCGCCGGCGCCGGCGCTGCAGGCTCTCCTCGCTGAGGCCCAGCACGGCCGACAGGTGGCCGATGTAGCGGATGGCCAGCCGCAGCGTCTCGATCTTGGTCAGGCTCTGGCCGGCGGGCGCCACGGACGGCGGCAGAAAGCGGCGCAGCTCGTGCAGCGCGCGGGCGAGCGTGCGCATGCGCAGCTTCTCGCGCTCGCTGGCGCTCTGCCGCTGCCCGCCGGCGGGTCCGGAGCGCACACGTCGCGGCGCCGTCGGGGCGGCTTGTGCGGCATGGGCGCTGTGGGCCGGTGGAGCGGGCTGCGGGGGCCTGCGGGCGCCGTCGCAAGGGCACGAGCCCGACGAGTCCGAGGAGGAGGCCGGAGACGTGGAGTCGGAGTGGCCGGCCCAGCCCCAACCTTGTGGGAAGATCCAGTGGTCGTGGCCCGGGAGGTTCTGAAGAGGAGGGGACTGGGCCATGGCCGGGGCTGCAGGCTCTGGGAGGCCAGGCCGGCCACCTCCGGGCCTGAGCTTTTATCGTGACCAAAGGTGCAAGGTGGCCCCCCACCAGGTTACAGAGAGGTGTCAAAACCCACAGAGCCCAGGGAAGGTCTGGGCAGGGGGGCCCTGGGAAAGGGGCCCATTTGTGAAGGTGTGGATTCTGACTCCTCAGGGGCTCTAATGGAGGCCCCTGCAGCCGGGAAGTGTGGGAGGGATAATTCGCATCTGGATGGAGCTGCTAAGCTTCTCACCGTGTTCCCACCCTACCCCGCCCCGCGCGCTCAGGGTGAGTGCCCAGGAGCCCGACGACCGTGGGCAGTGCCATTTTGGGGGGGTGGCCAGGCTGTCCCTCAAGTGACTCATGGACCCTTGGGAAAAGTAGCTGCCTCTCTCATCACCAGCCCCAGGGGGCTGTGCCCGGTAACTTCCACCCATTGCCTACAAGTGTGCTGAATAAGACTCCAAGACCAGCTCTGAGGGACCCGGCCACGGTGAGGGCGGTGGGGAGGAGGGGACATAACAGGTAGACCCTTCCTGGGTTCCCCAGAACAGCAGTTGCTGCTTTGCTGAGTGACACCGAGAAAGTCATCTCACTGCACACAGTTAGTTTCTGTCCCTGAAAAACAGAGCAGCCTGGAGAAGAGGAATGGGGTACCGGGGGATGAAAATGGGGGAAGATGGGCCCCCAAGCAAGCCTGAGTCAGACACTCTTGATTTGCTGTGTGACCTTGGGCAAGTCACTTAGTTCCTCTGAGGCTCAAGTTTCCTCATCCCCATTGCAATAACGATATAAAATAGTCACCACCTAGGTTGCTGGTACTAAGCAGAACCATCCGTGGAACCACCTAGTATGGGCCTGGCAAGTGGGCTAAATGTTTGCTGCTATCATTTTATAAAGAAGGTACTTACATTTCCAGATGCTTGTAGGCATTATTCATTTTGTTATGTAACATTTAAATATTTATTTAGCAACTGGTAAGTGTCAGGCACGCCAGGCTGAACAAGCTAGTTGTGGTCTCTGCTTTCATGAGATTTCAGTCTTGTGGGAGGGACAAGTGTCAGGCTGTTATATAAGTGGTAGCTGTGTGCCCTTGGGTAGTGCCCTTAACCTGTCTGAGCCTGAGCTTCTGCTCTATAAAACAGGACTAATAATTATAGTATCTACTCACAGGACTGAGGACTGTTGTTACCGTCTCGTAGTATAAACTGTGACATAGTAAAGTTTATAAAGTAAAAGCTGTCACTCCTCAGCAATAGTTGCAGTTTAAAGGAGGCGTCAGTGTTCTTTGTGATCTTGGGAGAAAGGGTTGAATTCGGAGGCTAAGGGCCAAATGAGGGCTAGGGACTGTAGAGCTCTGGCCACAGAGGTGGAGAGGTCACAGCGGGGCCTTGAACCATGAGTAGGACTTGGGCAGGGAGAGGCAGGGAGAGAATATTATTCTGGATGTGGGAACTGCGTAAGCAAAGACCTGGCAGGGGGACTTCCCAAGGTGCTTCAGGAACAGTGTGCAGGGATGGTGGTGTGGAGAGCTAGGACACACCTTGGCTGGGGCCAGGCTAAGAAGTCGAGTTTTATTTGCAAGGTGATAGGGAGCCAAATGGACTTTTGAGCAGGTGTGACATAAAAAAAAAAAATGTAATCAATAACTAAAGGTCAACGGGATAATGTTTCAGGACTAGATTAGCCCGCACCAGCCTGAAGTAGTAAATGGCCTTGTAGTATTTTTATGGCTGTTTTTAAAAATTAACTTTTATTTGCACAAATTACTTAACTAATAGTTCTCTCTGTAGAAATGGAAGCATTCCAGTGACAGCTGGACTCCCTGTAGCTTCCCCCCAGAGCTAACAGCTGTTGTTCAGTTGCCATGTGTCCTTCCAGACCTGGTCCCTGCATTCACATAAACACATGTGTCTTTAGAAAACACAGTATATGTGAGGTAACATTATGGCACATTGCCTGTAACTTGCTTTTTTTCATTCAACAGCATATCTTAGAGCGTGCCATGTCAGCACATATTTTGCTGACTCATGGTTAGTCGTAGGTGATTTAAATGTCCATTTTAATCATAGTGGATAATTTTAACTAGGAAAAAAGTAAAATGGCAAGAGGTGCAGATAAACTTTCAATGATGAAATTACATCACTTTCTCCTCAGAACTTATTTTTTAAAATATTGGAGAAAATATGCCCAAGTTACCACTCTAACATTAGGATGAAGTAATAATTGACATTGAATAACGTTGGTCGAGGCAACTGTCGTTTAGTTTATTCTAGGTGCTATGAATGAGGAGAGAAATTTTTTAATTTGTCCATAGCACAAAAAGAAGGTGGAATTGATAAATGATGGCCTTGATTTCAAACAGGCTTTCTTTGGAAAGAAGCAGTTATTATGCAAAATTTCATGACTTAGAAGGGTTTAAACCAAGGTAAAAAAAAATACTACTACTTTTTCCTAAGGGCATTTGGGACTTAGAAAACAGTCAATCCTACACTTTTTAGGTTGAAATAATGGGAAAACACTTATAATAAATCATCATTTATTCATCCAAGGCTGCACAGTGCTATAAAGGTCTTGACAGATTGTACTATCATGGAATTTATGTACATGTAATTGACAGTTGTAAACAAAGTTCATCAGGTTTCATATATATTTCTTTTCTTTCTTTCTTTTTTTTTTTTTTTGGTGAGGAAGATCAGCCCTGAGCTAACATCCGTGCCCATCTTCCTCTATTTTGTATGTGGGACACCGCCACAGCATGGCTTCATGAGTGGTATGTATGTCCACACCCGGGATCCAAACCTCCGAACCCCAGGCCGCTGAGGTGGAGCACACGAACTTAACCACTATGCCACCAGGCCAGCCCCTCATATATATTTCTTAATCTGGATTCTGAAGTTTCAGATTAATGTGCTGTTGACATTGAGCTCTCTGACTCAGCCCTTTTAACTGCTGAGTTAAAAGGCATGCTCACACCATACTCAGTCCCTTACTGACGTGCCTTTAGCACATTTGTAGTTTTTGCCAAATAGCACTGCCTTGTGCACAGGCAGCCAGATAGGAGTCGTGGAATGGCTTTGTGATCTCCAGGAAGGTTCCAAATATCCAGAGTTATTCCTCCTCTCTCCCCACTCACTACCCATTAGAGCCAGCCTGGAGGGATTTCCCATGAAAGGATTTGGTGAATGATGGGAATCTGCTGCCAGCACAGAGCCCTGCAATGCCCTTCCCTCTCCAGGAGAGCCTGGCCTCCAGGTTTGGGCTAGCCCCACAGCCCAGGCCTTAGACTGACTGTGGGGTGTCAGAGCATAAGTTCTGGAAGGTGTGGCCTAGGGCCTGGCTTGCTGTGGCCCCTGGCTCTTCACTGGGCCTTGTAGCCAGCCTCTAGGGCACAGGGGTACACTGTCTGACAGGCCCACTCAGTAGGGGGACAAACAAAGTGGATCCCCGCACTGGACCTCCAGTTAGCCCAGGGAGGCAGTGGGGTTTAATGGTTAGGAGGCCAGGCTGTGGAATCAGACAGGCTGGTTTAGAGTCCCAGCTCCACCCTTTGCCAGCTGTAAGAACTTGGGCAACTTACCCTCAGTTTTCTCATCTATAAAGTGGGGATTCTGCTCTCCAGGGCAGTTGTTGGGGTAAAATGAGATAATGCATGACACAGTGCTGAGCACAGAGCTTGTGTTTGTAAGCCTTGCTTATAGCAAGTTCAGGGCAGCAGAATGAAGTGGGTGAAGGACTAGGCTGGGTTGTGAGTAAGGGGGCCGATATCTTCAGCCTTGGCCCTGGCAGAAGGGGATTCCTTCCTTCTCTGAGACTTAGTCCAGCACCGGGCTGTGGGCGTCCTTCCGTTCCCCTGCCCTCCATCTCCAGCCCTTCTCCTCCGTGGACCCAGCATGAGGGTCATCCTCAGCAGGCTCGCGGGTTCCTGGCCTGTAGCAAAGGGTCAGCAGAACTGCCATGCAGAGGCTCCGGGAGAGCTCAGGTGCTGGAGCCGGGGCCAGCCAGCCCAGCCAGCTAGCAAATGGATGGGCGGAGCCAGCTGGTCCTGGTGGGCCAGGTCCTGGCCCAGCTGTTTGTCCAGTTTGCCTCCAGCACTGGGACCCTCAAGCATACCTCCTTCTGTGCTGAAACCTGCCCCTGGTGCTGGGCCAGCAAGGTAGGCCTGGGTCCTGCTCAGGGGCTTCCACGTGGGCCGTCTCTGCTGTCTTCCTCACCGGCTCGCCTGTTGCAAGGGCTCTCGCATGGACAGAAGTCATGCACTAAGGACGGTAAAGCAAAAAGAAGCCTGAGGCATTGATGGCAGCATGGAAGTGCCACACTGGCCCAGCACTGTCTACCCCTGAATTTCTGTAATGTAAGAGAAAATAAATCACCATCTGGTTTAAGTTATTGTCATTTTGGGTGTGTGCTATGAGCAACCAAACACAATTGCTGTCCACATAATAAAGAAGTTCCCAGGGTATCCTTGTCAACAGATGGGGCCACGTGAGCTGGATGACAGTTCAGGTAAGTGAATTCATAACAGATTCAGTGTTCCAACAGGTGAATGCATGGATGTTCACCTGGATGAAGGTCTCTGGTGATGTGCCACCAGCTCTATTCCCAGCCTTGTCATGGGCAGCATGACGATTTTGAATGAAGCTATGAACTGATCTAATTTGGGGTAAGATCCAAACCCAAGAATTGAACTGGATAACAGCCAGGATCTAAAGAGGGGTCGGGGGAGGGCCGTAGGGGTGAAGGGGCACATGTGTGCGGTGAGGGATGGCAGCTAGACTTTTGGTGGTGAACATGATGCAGTCTCTACAGAAGTTGAAAATATAATGATGTATGCTTGAAAGTAAAAACAAATAAATAAAGAGGTCCTGACAGACTGGAAAAACCCATCAGATCTAAGAAGGTGGAATCAGCAGAGCCCCTGTGCCCTCCCAGTTCAGGGTCAGGAGGCATCATGTGACCAGCAGCACATGTGGAAAGAGGA